TGCAAGCAGTCCTTGATAACAGAGTTTCCTGTTTATGACTTAGAAGTCTATGGAGACAATCGATTCAGTAATGCTTTCATTTTTAATTTGCCACTTTGCTACTGTAATTTCTAAGACTTATAAAAAGGATATAAGGAAAATAATAAGAATATTAAATATCACTTGAAAGAACTCAAGTCACATGGAACTAAAGGATTTTCCTTTAGGTAGTTGTGACCTATTAAGAAGAAATTTCATTGTTATTCCATTAGATTAGTAGCCAAATATAGATAAGTAGAACAGTTTAATGCTGTTAAATACATGATCAGTCTAGAGTGCTTAAAATTAAGCCCGATAGCTCTGACACTCTGGAAGAAAAAAGAGGAACAAATCCCTTAGGTCCCAGTGAAACACTGCAAACAGATACAATACAGAGACAGTGTGCTTTGCATAATAAAGCTTATCTTAAGACAAATCCTTTCTGCCTCACAATATAAAAGCCACATAGAACATGAAATAGTTTTTATGTAGACCACACAGTCATAATTGACACCTTCCCTTTCTAATCACCAAACAGTTTTTTCCTGCTATCTGTATGAATACTAGGAAGCACTGTTCCTGGTATTTCTGCGGACACCTCATCTTTTCCTTTCAGCTGCTTCACCAAACAGATGTTCACCACAAAAGGAGAATTTTAGAATTATTAGTTCTTCAAGAGCCACCAAGTGACTTTCCCTGTCTCTTCCCCAATTTTAATTAGAATATGAACCTCCCCCATCCAAACAAAATAGATACACCCAGAGCACAAGAAAGACCTGAGAAAGTAGTCAAGTAAGCAGAATGTGAAAAGCCAGTGGGGAACCACAAAGTGTTTACACTAAAGCTTAGGGATATTTTTCATCACAAAGTACTTACTCTTAGCCAATTTACTCTTATTTTATACTTAAATAAGATTGGTTATCTGACTTCTACACACCCAAAACACTGGACATAGTAAATTAAAAAATCAGGGCAGAAGTTAGTAGGGATAAGGCAAAAACACCCCAATAGTAATAAAAATTGGTAACAATTACAAGACAATAAAGAGGAAGGAAAACTATTTTAAAAATAGATGTAAGAAACACAAGAGGCACAACAACCTGGTTTCTTTTATGCTCAGATGCACAGATCCACTCTCTTCAATAAACAAGTGGTAAGAATTTTACTACATGGACCAATACAGCAAGTCTGGCTACTGAAATGCTTGAAGAGTCAGACATTTTGTATTGTTCACTTGGCCAGTGTCTTAAATCTGAGCATCTGATTTCAAACGCTTGGTTATCCCGAGGGAAAAAAGCATTCGTGGGAAGACAGCAATCCAAATAACAGAGGCACATGTAAAAATAAAATGCTGTGTAGTTTAAGACTTTTGTGGGGCCAGGGGGCAGAGGAAGAGGACTCATTCAAGTAACACTTATCAACACCCTCCCTGTGCTTTCCCCATCCTCTCCCCATCAGCAAACTCTGAAAATATTTTGCTTACCAAAAGAATGCACTAATACTTAAATTATTTCTACCAGATACAATATACTGTTCCACTAACTCTATAATATATAGTTCCATCTTACCTTCTTGTATATTGTTGGTCCATCCACATTTGTGCTCAGAATGACCACTACTTTATAAGCATCAGAAAACTGACTTCAATTCCAGGTTAAAACAGATACTACAGTATGGCATGTTAAAGTCAAACCCAAAACATTTACTGGGAGTATCGCCCATTGAACAAAGAAATCCTATTCTGTTTCCAAAGGGGATAAAAGACCAGCCTAACCCTGGTAACCTTAACACAAAAGGAAGCTAAAAAGCCAGGGACTCGATAAGAACAAAGGATTGTTCTATCTGATGACATCAATACGTATTAAACACGATGTGTTACACATCCTTCTATCAATATCTGAGAAGATAAATTTGCAAATTAATATATCAGCCATAACTGCATAAAATTACTACCGTCTTTGGAAGAGGATTTGATTTATAGAATGGTAGTGACTTTTATGTGTTTAATGTTTCTGAAATTAAAGGAGGAGATGAGGTACTGTGAGCAAGCAAAATACAATGTCCGGGAAATAATTACACTTGTGACCTCATGCCCTTGAAGGTCACTGCATCACAGGCCAAAGGAAATCAGGAGCCATCAGAATTTACCTCACAGTTGTCACCGCCTGGAATGAAAGGCAAGTGTGGGTATATTTCATAAACTAGCAGGTGCTTGACCTCATAAAAAAAAAAGTTCACCATCAAAATGCTACATGCAGAGTGTCACAAAAAAGAGACACATAAAATTGAGTTCTGCAAAACACCTTCCCTTCAAAATAAATCTGAGACAACATTTTATCTTCATCCAAATTGTAAAACAACAGTTTCAAAAAATAACATTAATCCTTTCTTAGTATGAACAGCCAAAAGAGATTCTAGAAAGCATTTTGGGAGACATCAAAGTAGATACAAAGACATCCTAATGAGCAATAATTCAGAAAATAGAACATATTTACTAGCCTAAGTGCATATATATTACTTATCATTTGAATGCCGTTACCATTAAAATAATACTTACCTTCAAATTTCCTATCAGAAATTAGGTATCAAGTGTTAATACAGGGATTATATTTGTAAAGGATAAAAGAATGTGCCCTGTTTCAAGAAGCTCCATTCTCTGAAGTAAAATTTTCCTATCATTCCACAAGGACTTGGTTTTTATGAAAATGTGTGAACTGGCTTTGCATTTAACAAACTGTTCCTTTCTTCCTTCCCAATGCCTTCTTGTCTTCTGCCAGAACCCCGGCGCAATAGAAAGAGAATTCTGAAACAGTGACCGTAAAGAAGCGAGAGCAGGAAAAGGGAAGGGGCCGCCAGACGACAACCGCATGTAGAATATCCTATACGGGTGCCTCACAAAAATTTCTCCTTTAATGGCTTCCACTGTCCTACAACAAGTAACTGACTCTGGCCCCTTGCTCTCCTTAGATTCTCAAACAAATCTCCAAAAGGCTTCTGCATTATTGCATAATGTGCCTAAAGAAAATTCCAGAACCCATTCAATATGACCAGTTGATTAAGTTGTCATCTTAGTCGTAGCTCAATCACTCATGGCTGTGAAGTCAGAGAAAGTTACTACCCACTTTAAACCTCAGACTTTAAATCTCTAAGATCAGCCTAATATGACATTCTGTTCTTCAGTAAAAACATTTTTGAAGTTTCCAACAAATATCTAAATAAGGAACTCTTGAACCATGGTGTCATAAGTTAGAAGCTGCCAATACTGCTTAGGTGATTATTGCATATTTTTAACTACTTGAGATGATTAAATGATAAGAAAAGCTCTGGTGACTGGTTATTTCCCAGATATATTGCTTCATAATTTACCCATTTTGGTGATTAAGAAGGTTTCTATGCTAGAATACTTTTGAGATTCTAAAATAAAGCTTTCTGGTCTAACTTGTTATATAAGAATCACCTCTGGAAACATTAGTGCCAACGGTGGTGGTGATTTCACAACAAGCACAGTGGTGGCAGGTGTGAGCTGCCCACCAGCTGGCTCTGTAACCTTCTGATCCCCTTGGACAGCAGATTCTGTTCAACAGCCCTACGTGACCGTTCCTCGTTTGTTGTATGCTTTCTTCTCTTTCACACGTTCAGAAGCCCTACGCCTTTAGCTTGACATCCTTTTATTAAAATAGAAAGCTCACAGTAAAGCAAACTAAAGCTAATTTTACACTCAGTCAACGTGAAAGTTTCCAAATAGATAGTATATTATATCTAGAGCTGATGGTGTAAGATGATTATTTATGTGTGGAATGAGTATTCGTTTTGCCTTTCACTAAAAATAACATTATGGTAAGAATGAAATTGTAAGTCAGCATGCCGTTAATTTATAAAGTACTCCAAGATGCTATAATGAAATACTAAGGATTCTAATTACAGAGAGAAAAGGTTTAAATTTGATCTAAGAGCACCTGTTAACTTACACTTATTTTGACAATGATGAGAACCACTAAGAGTAATTTTTTTATTTTTCTGTCTATTTTACTGTTGCTGGATTTAATATATTTGGAAATGACACTATCCTTTATTTACTTAGCACTTAGCAGTATTAGCTAAGTAAAGTATCTACTCACTCCTACTCCCCTCACCCCACTTAAAACCTAAGAATGCTACAAGATGGAAAAGTAAACAGGGGTGAAAAGACTGAGTAATGATAGTCACTAAATGATGGGGGTGGGCCTTCAAAAAATTCAAAAAGTTCATTCATTTCTCTTAGTCTCAACTCCTCTGAGAGGACTGGAGAAGAGCAGGATGTGGCGGTGACATAGTAGCTACTTTATGAGATTAATCGCAATGGCTAAATGAGACAACATAGAGCAAATATTTAGCAAAGATTGGCACAAGAAAGTGTTCAATTAATGGTACAGATTGTCACTATTTTATGTATTCTCCATCCTCTTTAGACCAACTAACAGACCTCTCACCTAGCAAAGTACACATTCTTTTTAATTCACTACTTCAGGGAATATGTGTGGCTAAATGAAGCCTCTACCTTAGCGCTAAATCATTCTCTTTCTTCCCAGGAAAAAAAAAAAATGAAGTTTTCACCACCGCTGTTAATGATACCTCTCTTGCCAAACTGTCAACAATACATCACCATAATAATCATTGTCCACTCTAAATGGACATTTAGGACACTCATCTAAATAAATGTCTAAATAAATACTAAATAAAATGTCTTAAAAATACTTCACAATATTTCTACAGTAAAACAGCATTTTCCTTTTTAAAAGAATCTTCAGTGAATTGCTATTTAGCTTCATCTTCTACCTACTCTACAGTTTGTCCTTAAATCTGGGATCTCCTATTTATATTTAATAAGCTTATGACAAGCTGATTAGCTAATCTTATTTTGGGAGCTACTTTATGAAGGTCATAGCTACACGTTTTTCCACATGTGCATGAAAAGTTTTGCAGGAAAGTATGAGGATCCTTACGGGATATGACATGGTCCATGTACTGAGGTAAGTAAGGAGCCCACGCATCAATAGCTTCCTTCCGTCCCGCCTGCTCGATTCTTCTCAGTTCTGCCAGCAGCAGGGCTTGAGCGGCTTCTCGGACCTTCGAAGACCACAGACCCAAATGTAACAAAAAGAAAGCAGGTCAGTTGCTGAGGTGCTTAAAAGCTGGAAAGTTCACAATGAAGGAAAACTAGAAAATAAAAAGACTACCTTCATTTACAGGAGAAAAAACTACTAACCAAATTAAGCACTGAGGGGAATAAATAGGATGTTAGCAAATCATTAAAGACATTTTAATTCATGACCTCCCTGAAACATGTTTTAACACTAATAGGTTTATGTTAGCACATTCAATCTTAAGCTTTCTGTTAAAAATTTCATTTGCCAAAGCTGTCAGAACAGTCTTGATTTTAATTTAGCATTTTCATTTTCCAGATTCACACATATCATTGATAAAAGTCTATGTTAGAGCTATTAAATTTATTGTTTTACCTTGAAGAAACAGCCTTTTCTAGTGAATTTCTTTATATTATGTATGCTAAATAGGTAATTAGTAAACATTTAGGATAAATCCACATGATTTGTGTATGCCTAAGACAAGTTTAAACAATTAGTTGATAACAAACAAGCAAATATATTTCTTTAAAACAGCACTGGTTCTATCGAAGGGAACTATTTTTCAAAATTACAGTCTCTCAGTTTTTCTTTCGGTGTGATGTAAAATTTTATTTTATAGTTTTAGTGAGGTTTTTCTTATTTTGACAAAAGTATCATTGAGGGGACAAATAAACAAATCATTTTTTGAGTAGTGTACTAGCCAATTTATACTTGAAATTTAAAAATAACAATATCTGTAAAAGTTTGAACCAAAATTTTTTTAATTATAACTATTTATTGAAGTGAATTCAAATACTATCCAACACAAAACCATGAAAATTTTAATATGCTGCAAACCTAAATGGAATTGGAAGTACAGTCAAAAATGGGTCAAATACATTATTTATTTTTGGTAAATTAAAAATCTTGAATGACACATGTTTCTGTACCTACACAGGTCAAATAACACAGGGAAAATTTCTATAAAGCACTTGCAAGTCTCTGGTGATGTTATATTCTAAGCAATATCTAACACGGCATAAGTTCATTAACACAAAATAGCTACCAGTTACTGAGTTCCTACCATGTGTCAGCCTCTGTACTTCCTGTTGTATTTCCATATCTCACTTGATCCTAATAGCAATCCCACGACAAATACATATTGATGCCCACTTTACAAATGTTCTTCAAATAGGTTAAGTAAATTGCCCAGGATCGCAAAGTTAATAATTAGCAGAGGTGATATTTAAACTCGAGTCTATTCTAATTCCAAAGAGCTTTTGTTTTATCATAACATAAAAACTACCACTGAATTGTGGCTATCTGTTCAGAATTGGAGGTGACTATATCTGAGTGTGTGACTTTGCGATGTATGTAGGTGTGTGCACGTGTGTGCGCATCTGTGTACAAAAACAAGTGCCAGAGAGACAGTCCATATAGTCGATGAAACTTTCTACCAAACAAGTCACTGGATTAAAATGAAAAAAGTAAAGCAGTAAGCAAACTGGAACTGTGTAGTCTGTGTATGTGTGTGTGTGTATACTACTAAGCAGTATAAACACTGAAAAAAATCTATGTATTACTGTGTAGTATACAACCCATGAAAATTATGAATCCATATTTCTATTACATATAGTGAGGTGATAAATTAGACCAGCAATGAATTTTTCTTCAAATGTGCACGAGTCCAGGGCCCTTTGAATGTTTTGGTTTCTATACAGCGCCTCAACATTACCTCCAAGCAGCGATCTTGCCACCTGCGAGCCAGCATCTCCAGGAGCGGGGGCCTGAACTTGTCTAAGCCCAGCAAGTCCGGCAGCATGACACAGTGCATAGCAGCCAGCTGGCTCCACCCTGGCGAAAGGAGGCATGTCACACACAGGTCAGACATTTTGGAATCCCTCACTTAGAGACGTCTCCGTAAACATACCTCGCCCCCTACACACACAGCATGTCTGCTCACTCATATGATAAATGACCTCAATTTATTATTAGACATTCTGTATAAAGCATTATAGCAAATGTTTTTCATCTCTAGATCACGTAATTGGTACTTAAAAGAACTCTTCAAGTCTTTTAACAAAAATAAATTTTCTCATAAAGTATATAGATGTCCACAAGGGAAACACATTTCTAAATAATCTTTCTAGAAGGAAATATATATTCAGAGGTGGGAAAGCATAGAAATAAACATGCAGTTGGCCTTGAGCCTTAAAACTACATTAATTTAAAAGGATATTCAGACAGACATCTGAAGAGAAGCTGGTGTCTAAGGCCCGCCCACCTGAGTGTGTCACCCCTGTCAGTCAACAGAGATGACCTTCCCTCTCTGTCAGAGAGTCTGTAAATAAGACATTTACTGATCCTATTTCTCAGAAAATGAGCTAGTGATTTCATCACAAATCATAACTGAAATATGTAAATAACAGCAATTTTGAGAGGAAAATTGAATTCAGACATTCTATAAAATAAAAACCAGACACTGAAAAATTTATAAAATTTTGAGCATCACTAACTATAGTCTGAGGGAATAAAAATTATGTTTTCCAAAATCCTAATTCACATTATGAATTTTGAGTATATCAAGAAGACTTATGTAACTATAAACTCTAATAAACCACTGCAATAGTTAAAAGTATTGAGATCCAGACATTCCCAGGTAATCAGTTCAATCCTACTTTAAAAGTTCTGAAAAATGTAAACACAATAAATGCCTGATCATACTAAATTATGTATAAAGTCACTATTAATCCACACTTATTACCAATTACATCGTGAATTACCTGTGTCGTCTTATAAAACAACAATAAAAACCTTACTATAGAATTCAAAGTGATTACTGGGATTGTTAAAAAAAAAAAAAGAGAAAGAGAGAGAGAGTGAATGATAGAAGACAAGTCTACCTAAAGATTCATCCTTTCCATAAGGAAACTCTCATCAACTCAGAATATATGATCATATTAGTTAAGATGGCTAACCTGCACCTTTTATGTTGTAATTTATTTTCAATAGAAGGACAGATATGTGTATACACAAATATATATAAATATAAATTACCACCTAGTATGAAGTGCAGTTGTAAGTAAATTTTAATGTGATGATTCTCACATAGGTCTGAATTCTAATGACTAATTTTTTTCATTAACAAATGAGGATCTTTACTAACATTTTCATATTTGTTTTTGCTAGTCCAGTCTACACATTCAAATCTTAGTACAGGTCTGTGACAGGGAAACCTACCAAACCAAGCTATACTTTTAAGCTCCTATGTTTTCTTCCTAAACCTGCACCATTATTTCCACTTGAGTAAACTGACAATACTGCACTTTCAGTGAAGACTCGGAATCATTCTGAGTTACAGCTGAGATTTCCCCCTTTTTAATATTATGCAAAGGTGAATGCTGAACCCACTGTGAAAAGAGCAGATAAACAACTCCGAGCTCACAAATTCTGCTAAGCTTCCCAACAATGTACATGATCTTAGATGACTCTCGGGGAAATAGGTTCATGGACTCCACTCAGTTTCTGGGCCCCAAAAGTACTTCCCCAAAAAACTAGTATAACTCCACAGGGATAATACAGTAGCCAAATATACATACATATATATATATGTATGTATGTATGTATATTTCCAATTTAAAAATTGAAATTATGGATTTTTGATTTGGCTGAAAAGAGAAAGAGTAAGGAGAATAAGTGAATTCCTATCTGTTTATGACTGGTGATAATCATCGATCTGAAGGCTTTTCAAATGAGAATGCAGATTAAGAGAATCTATCCGGTTCCCCTCTAATCATCTCACATAGTGTGTGAAGGGGGCAGAGTATGTCACAGAATATTGATACACGTAAGATAAATTAGTTGGCTCTCACACTAGCGACCACAGGCAAACGCCATCATGAGAGACAGCCCACCTCTGATAAACTATTTCACATCAAAGACGAGCATCTCTGCACTCCTTTAGCCCATCACAGGAAACATGGCTTTACACAGGCCAGGAGTAACCTTCACTTGTACAACTGGTCCTTGACGTGGACACTGGCAAATGCAGATATAAAATTGAACCTTTAGGGTTGTACACATAACGAGGCAGATGAATGTATAAATCGGATTAAAAGAACATGTCATAATAGAATAAAGCACAGCTTGAAGGATAGTTGTTAGGAAGTTGAGAGAGAATACCTTCATTTACTAAGAAACAGGACTGTAAAGCAGGAGGAGGAGGAGGGTCAGAGCCAGAGTGACCAGCGTCAGACCGAGCAGAAGCGACAGGAACGGCAACTTGCGGAGGGAAAGAGAAGAAATAAGAAGGAGAGGACTGAGGTACAGCAGTTTCTGAAAAAAAGCTCAGTATTAGTGAAGAATGAAAAACAAAGTGGGCAGAATATAGTAAATGTAGGACTAAAAAAATGATGTTTTACTCAGAAAGGTGCGATTGTTGGGGAGTTCGGCTGGGAATTGGCACATGTTATGAAATAGTTATCACAATGTACTTCGAATTCCTCTTAAAGCCAAAATCTACTTTATAATATAGTTGAGTGATAGGTTGGCCTTTAATAACAACAGCAAAAAAAGCTCTAAAAACAACGAGGGCTACAATGAAAAGGTGACAACAAATATATTAAGAATTAGTAAATATGCAATTTAATATTTAGAATACACTCATAATGGAAAGCTTGTGCTGGTTTCCCTATGTTGTCATTTACATTTTTTTGATAAAATTTCTTTCCTAAATGTATGCGTAAAGTATTTCTTAATCTCAAACCAGTATCTACCCAGATCATTTCAACTTTACAACCTTCTATTAGATTACAACCTTCTATTAGATTACAACCTTCTATTAATTCAATTTAAAATATAATTCAACTTATATGGAATATTAACACTATACTGAACTCTTCTTAAACAAATCCAAATGTAGCCTCATTCGTTGGAGTTCAAAAACATATTTACACTGCAAATGCTTTACGGTCTAAAAATAATTATTGTGCACACTATAATTCTTATAGAATAGATGCAAGTCATCCCTTACCCCCAAAAGTTATGTCACCAGAAAATGTTGCAGCTTAAATTATCATATGAAAAGGCAAAAGGACCGTATGGCACAGACATTCTACAACTGGAGGTCAACACTAAGATTTAGAGGTCACCGTTTGACACTTCCTTCCTATGGAGAAATTACCATATGTCATGCACAAGCATCTTCAAATTAATCCCTCTCCTTTCTTCTGTCATTGAACAGCAATAGGTCTGGGCTCCAGGACAGATTAAGCATTGTCTGCTGAATGATATGTTTGCTTTTCATGCAGTGAAGTTCTTTTGTATCTACAGGACAGCTGCATGAAAACAACTTTTCATAATTTCCACACGAATGCATCCTAATGTCAATCAGGCACGTGTGAGCTAAACAGTAGAACTAAAAGAAGTACATGAACAGTTATAAAAGCCAGAAAATCCAACTCTGCAAACCTAAGAAACAGGTATTGTACACATGAACGTTTTAGCTGGGAAATTGTAAAATCTTAATATAAGAAAACAGTGTTTAGTTCTTTAGGAAATTACAACTCTTTTATGTCACCTTAGAAAAGCAAGAGTTGCTCTTAATTGTATATTTCATGAGATCCAAGAATTTCACTATTATCTTGCAAAGAAATTCCAAGTATTTCTAGAGTCCACTGAATATTTTTCTTTTTATCATTTTTGCTTATAATTTCAGTTATTATGGCCTGAAAACATCCATTTCCCCATTCAAAAAGTGGACAAGCCATGGTGCCAAGAAATAAATTTTCAGATTGCAGCTTTCACCAATCAAAATTGTTGAGAAAGTTCCCTGGTGGTTTCTAGTGCCAACATTTAGGAATTTTCTCTACTTTCACAATTTTGAAAGGGGAAACTATTATTATACCTTGGAAGATTTTTGTCAGCTGTCTGTTCTTTAATTCTTAAAGGAAACTAGAATGAAGACTGAGGAACTTCAATGTAAGCGAATAAGTTAAATTAGTGGGAATTACATTCTCTTAGTTACAGTGTAAAGGTTGCTAGAAATGTTTCTAGCAAAACTGCTATGATGGCGTATTATGTGTTAACAGAATGATGCTTAATGTGTGGGACTTTTTAATGAGAGATATAAACTTTGGGTATTTTTTTTTGGGTGTCCTATTTAAATGACTTGCATGTCGAAGAAGCCATTAATACCTTCCTTTAGTAAATTCGCTGCCCATTATATAGTGCAATGTTTACTCATACTTGAAAATTCTCTGCATCACCACCAAAAAATTAATTTACTCAGACTACCTCATAGCTGAAGATACAGAAACTAGAACTTTCATAACTGAGAATATTAAAATGAAATCCTGCTAGAGCTTTTAAAACAGTCAACATATAGAGAAGAAAACATATAAATCAGAAGGAAAAGGTACCACTTCCAAAATGAAAAGCCCAACATTTAATGACAAATAATAAATCTGAAGGACTGATGTGCGGCAGTGAACAGCAAAAGTTTATACCACAGTGCATAGCATACATTTGACTTCTTAAAACAGAAAAGCTGGGCCTTCCCTGGTGGCGCAGCGGGTTAAAGCGCAGCACTAAGAAACTAAAGCCACTTTAGCGTGAGTTTGATACCCGCCTGCCCCGGAGGTGATCCACATGGCACGGCAGACCTCTCCTGACCCGCTCTCTGCTCCCCTCAGCAGTGTATTTCTCCAGTTGGCCTGTTCTGCTCCCCACTCTGTCTCTGGTGAATCCTCTCACCGCCCCTGTACCTCTGGCCTGTAACCTAGCTCTGTACGTGTAAATAAATAAATCTTAAAAAACAAAAAACAGAAAAGCTGCCAGGTCTACTACCTGTTTGTTCCTTATTAAAGATCAGTAAAGCAGTACCGCTAATAATATAAGTTCTCTTATTTTACCCAGGAAAGTCTTTACAGTAATTCTGCAGCTAAAAGCCTCTTCAACTATTTAATATCACATGAAAAGGCAGATGAAACTTAAACAAACTGTAACACAGACACACACACACACACACACACACACACACACGTACATGTACACCCACACATCTTCACCCGTGCTCTGGCTTCTCTTTGTACAGCATATACACAATACCCACTTTTAAAATATATCCATGGTTTCTGTCTTTGAACAGGTATATTTAAGTCTTCATTTGAGACCCGATTCTAAACTCCCTTTATCCCTATTGCCAGTGTAATATCAAAAATAAGACAGAACACTAACATGCTTGGGCGCAAGTACATTAAGTGCTTTCCACATACTGGTCTAAAACTTACGAGGCTCCCAGGACATGAACAAAAGCATTCAATACATTCAGAGGAAGGAAAAAAAAAAAGAGACTCTAGAAAGTATTTTTAAAAACTAAAAACAATACATGAAGTAGTAAGTTCTTTTCCAAACTTAGCATTCAACATGAAAATTATTTAATGATGAATCACTATCTAAAGGTATACATGGCAACATAAAGCTTTAAGATGAGAAGGACAGAGGAGGAGGAAGAGGAAGAAAAAATTAAGCGACTTGTAAAGTCAACCAACACAATATAAAGGCTAAGCCCACTGGGCCTGCCACCAATGGCAGAGATTTTAGAGGAACACCTGCCTTTTATAAACTTCCATTATGTCTTAACTTTTATGTCACAGGTAAATGAGCACTCCGGTCATCATTTAAATCAATGTGAAGCACTTGGATAAATTAATCCAACAGTGTAAGGAAAAAGATTATCCTTAAAACACTGCAAGTGGAGAGCACTGATACCCAAGGAAGTACACTAGGAAGCAGAAGGTTCCAGGCAATGGAAAACAATAAGGATAAAACAGAATGAGCTAATACCCCAAGGCGGCATTCTGATAGACACATATCAAGACAAAAGAGAAATGTGCTGATGTTAAATAAATGCATGAATTAATTAATGCTGGTTAATCTCTTGATCACCACTGAATTACGATTAGAATTAGAAGAAGTTCAGATATAACTGTAAGTTTACTCTAGCCAAATTTTATTTTGGCCAAAGAGTGAAAAAAGAAAAGCTACCTTATAAGAGTTCCTCGTTCCTAACATTCAAATTAAACAAGTGAATGAAAACAGAGACCAAGGGGAGAGGAAGTTACAACATAAACACTGCTTTGAATTAGACATATTAAGGTTATTAATAGCTTCCCCTTCACTTCATTAGCTAAGTAGGTACATACCATTTACAAGTTATCAGTCTAAGCATATAAAACCTCAGGAAGAGGGTACTAGAAGAATGGTGGGGGTCACTAGGGAAAAGGGGTTACAATGGTACGGTAAAGGGTAGATTTGGACTTTTAATGGTGAACTTAATGCACTGTGTACACATGTTGGTTAATAATTATGCACATATAACAATGCAATGTTGTTTCAATTTTAAAAAATAGTATTTTGCATTTTCATTTTAAAGAGTCACAAAGATCAGACAAAGATGTACCCTTTAAATGCTCGGAGTCTGGTAGGAAAAGCAAAGAAGTAACCAATTAATTGATTATCATAAATTGTCCTCGCCTAAATATTCTCCACTAAATATAAGCTCCCAAAAGGCAGGGATTTCTTTTGTCAACCCTTACAGCCTCAGTTCTACCTACTGACATATTGACTCTAGAAGCATAAAGAGAACTTAGCTTTAGATTCATTCATTCAACAAATGTTTATTGAATTCCAACTATATGTCGGCCACTGTTCCCAAAACTTGTGATAAATCAGTGAGCAAAAGAGAAAAAAGATGTTCCTGTTCCAGTCAGCTTCCAAGGCAAACCAAATTCATAAACTATTTTTAAAAAGGCACTATTCTAACAAAATTTTAAGGGGTAAGGGACCCACCCATCACCTGGTATATGTACTAAGTCCTTTCTTCACAGACCCTGGAAAAGGATTATAAGAAACTCTCAGTTCATTTCCATAAGTGATGCCTGAGATATTTAATAATGACTATGTCTTCTGAGTTGAGACAATTTACAAAGAATGCAACATAACCTTAAATCTTGCTACCATATTTACCATTAAATAAGACGTAGCTACTAATAAAGATACGATCACGGTCAAGATAAGCACTAGAAACCTGGACCAAAGACTTATGCCCTGAGATAACTGAGCTGACAGACAGAAGTACAATAACTCAGAATGCAGAAAAGCCTACGGCCGGCAGCAGAGTTAGGGCTGTCTGACTGAGAACAAAAATTTAGTTGACACCTCTGATCCCTGTTCTCAAGTGAGATGTTTTATAAACTGCAAAATAGTATCTAATAAATATATACTGTCTTCATCAAAAAGTACATGACTGTCAGTAAATGTCAATTACTGGCCAACACTGACTTAACTAGGCGGCTGATAGAAAAATTAAACCTCTGGTGAGGCTTCTTGTGTGGAAATCATTTTCCGAAGAAATGTCCAAAATAATGTTAAGTATACATCAACATCATCTTTACTCTCTGGCCCAAATGTCTAAGAAGGTCCAATCCACAGCTAACAACTTTGTTCCATACAGACATTTTTGCAGCTGAATAAGCATTAATCAGCACGTAAATGACAGTTTACCAAAAAGGAGCATATTTATGTTTGCAACCCAACTTGAAAGATGAATTGTCACCAATATACACTACAGCTGGAGTGGGAAAAGAAAAAATAAAAGAAAGAAAAATGTTTAGAAGAGGTCAGTGATGTTTGAGCAGTAAGATACAAATATACAGCGACATAACAGCTGAATTACAGTCCGAGTAGTGTTCTCGGCATCTCTTATTTCTCACCTGAAGATGGTTATGTATGTTCATGTCTTAGCTACTTGATGTACAAAAACTTCAAGAGAGCACGTGTCTGCAAGCACACCTCTACCTCATATCCCAAATAGAATTGTTTGGAGGAAAAAATGCTTAACGAATATTTCTGTCAAAGAAATAATCACATCATATTTTCATTTGAACATTGAAAGAGAAAATAGGTTTCATCATGTCACTCTGAAGGATTTTACCTTGTAGCTCTCACAACAGATTGCTGACCTACATTGATGTTAAAGTCAAGCATCTGTGCTATTCTAGATGGAAATCCCCACAACTGTTACCTTAAGGAAATGTTTTAGTAAGTCTCTAATCTCAGCCCTTCTTCAGTGTTCTCAAAACTCAGTGTGAAAGCATTCCAACTTTAAAATCCTTGGTCTGACAGAGTGAACAAATTCAATACCATGATGTTGAAAGAGCATTTATGTATCTACAGTATCATGACAATATCACAATGTACCAGGTCTTGTATATCTGTTTTGATTGCAGAGAGAGAAAAATGTGATCGAAGAATAAATGTCAACTATAAAGAATGATAATCAGGATGGCAATAAATCATCTCAAACAGGAATCAAAGTTTTAAACTCTAGCTAAAGGGAAGCGTATACTATTGTATTTGTATTGGGTAATCTGGAAGATACTTTCAACGAATTTATAAAATTAATACATGCTATTGAGAAAAAGCAGAGATCTAGAGTTAAAAGATACTGATTGGCCTTCCCTGGTGGCAGTGGATTAAAGCACAGCACTAAGAAGCTAAAGCCCCTTCAGCATGGGTTCAATCCCTGCCTCAGAGGTGATCCACAAGGCACAGCAGACCTCTCCTGACCCGCTGCCACAGTGCACTTCATCAATCTGCCTATTCTGCTCTCCACGCTGTCTCTGGTGAATCCTCTCACCACCCCTGCACCTCTGGCCTGTACCCCAGTTCTGTATGCATGAATAAATACATGTTAAAAAAAAATAAGGTACTGGTTACGTCCTAATCACACCACTATCATGGAAGCCATTTCCTTTTCTGCCTGAAATATGCTCTAAATATATTAAAGCTCTACAAAAGAGAATTTGTACATTATAAAAACAATGTATTTAGAATAATTTCCTTATTTTTATCTATTATCTATCTATGTTTAATTGAGGTGATATTGAGATACCCATATGGCCACCACGGTGGACCCACACCAAACCACCCACAGCCGAGCCCCACAGACCCTTGGGCTTCCTTTCCTCTTTGCCCTTACCCTTCGTCCAGCCTCTCCCTGTTCTGGTGCCTTCTGTTCTATAGTGAGCTGTCAAAGGTTAGTTTTAGGCTTGTCTTTGTCTGACCCTCAGTTTGGCTGCCCTATATTCTACTTACGAGTGATACCCTCCAGTACTTATTTTTCTCCTTGCATTATTCCTTCTAGCTCCATCTGTGTTGCTGCAAATGGCATGGGTTTGTCTTTTATGATCACTGAATAATACCCCTTTGCATACATATACCACATCTTCTTGATCTGTTTTTGGACATGATATTGTTCAAGAATACAGCTACTACAAGATGTTTCATTTTATTAATAAAAAAAAAATTAGACTTGGATAATTCCATTTTGTGCTTTTTTTGTTGGTATATACTTCACACATATTCAAGTATAAAAGGTTACCTAACACGAATTTATATAAAATATACATTTTATACAACTTAATATAAATGACTACAAAGCAATCATATCAATTTGATAACAGAACAAGGAAAAGAGAGGCGAGACTGTGTACAATGGAAATGAAGGGAGTGGTGCAGAAAGTGTGGGAACTGATCTCCTATAAGGAGCCAGCAGACAGACCTGACACTGGAAAACAGGTGCATCATTTGAGGATATTAAAGTAAGCACGAAATAATCAACTACCTGAGAGAAAAATATTTATGCTTGGGAAAGAGAAAATTCTCACATGAAGTTAGAGGCGTGTTGTTTATCTAACATCTCACAGAATTATTCCTTCATCCTTAAAACCCTTTAAAAAAGCAAAGGAAAAAAGAACATTCTAAAATGTCGTCATTTGCAAGCAGAACCCCCATTAGCCCATCTCTTCACCTCTTTCTTCCCTACTTCTGTGAGTCAGCATTAAGTCTCGGCATGAGGAAAAGCTCCTAAGTAGAAGTGACCCCAACTCCGGACTCATCGTTAGCTCCCTGTCAGTCTTAAAATGATTGTAAAAGGTAATAAAGGGAAACGCAACCATTCTCCTCTTCTATGCCCTAATGAAAAGGAAGGCTATAGATAAAAGGTATGGAACAAGATCATTTCATTAAAAAGCAAGGCCTTCCATTTGTGAATTATAATGCATGAACTACTGGCAAAAGGCAGAGGAGTGGTCATCATGAGGAAATATGAATTTAAACATGTCTTAATGCAGTTTAAAATCAGTGTAACTTTTAAACTCAAGATGAGCGTAATTACGGCACTAGTAGTGCCAAGTTAAGGTGCTCTTAATGCATAAAGATTAGGCCAAAGACAGAACAATGAAATTATGGTGAAATATGCCCATTTATCAATTTCTAAATAAATCTGATTTATTTTTAACTGACATCTAAATCATCCATATTTACGTCTGGATTATAACAACCTTTTCTCGCTTTTAACAACCTGAGACAAATAAAATGTTATGATAATACATAGGCTAAGTCTCCTCAGTCTCTAGAGCTGAAATGTCATGTCAATTAGTTAATAAGATTTAATTTTATCCAGTTATCCAGCATATGAGTATTTACCTGAAAAATATGAACACACTGATCCAAAGAGATACATACACCCCCATATTTACTGCAGCATTATTTATAATAGCCAAGAGCTGGGAGAACCTGCATGTCCTCTGACAGGATAAAGAAGTGCAGAGTGAACACACACAAGGAATATTACTCAGTCATAGTGAAGACGAAATCCTGCCATTCATAACAACGGGGACGGGACTGGGGGGTTACAGCTACTAAAGTAAGTCAGAGACAAATAAACACTGTGATTCCACTCATGTAGCACAGAAATAAAACAAACTAAAGCAAAAACAGCTATACGATGGAATTAGTGGCTACTAGAAGGGAGGGGTAAAGGAGGAGGGTAAATCAGCTAAAAGGGGTCAACTCTACAGTGAAGGATGGAATTAGATTTTTAGTGATGACTGGAATGTACTATGTACAGATGTACATTATATAACTTTGTGGGTATACATATATAATGATGCACTCCTGAAATCCATAAAATAATATAAAAAGCAGAAAGCCATTATAAGCGAGTTACTTTAATTAAAAAAAAAAGAACTTGAAGATATTTCCAAAAACAATATAGGTATATTTAAAGTTTTTACCATATTGTTATTTTTAAAGGAAAGAATTAAGATTACAATAACTAATGACCGATATCACAATAAGGCACCATACATTTAAAATTTTATTTTAATAAAGGTTTCCTTTGTAATGCCATTTTAAAAATGATTAATTTTACCTTGTTTAATCTGTCCTTGCACAACATTACTGGCAGTTGGGGAAGAACCTTTTGCCTTAGAAAGGTCTGGGGTGCTTGGTCTGGGCGGCCTTTAAAAAAAAAAAATATGCAGAGCTTTATATTTTTATATTTTTTGCTTATAAAGCCACCTAAAATATTAGGTGCAAAATGCAAAAAGAACAAATACAGAACATTTTCAATTGACTGTTCCAAAAAGATGGAGTTTTTTGTTTTGTACCTATTAACATTTTCCATTTCAAATTTGAATATGGTAAATTAAATAATTAGTCTTGAGTAAAAATTTTATATCTACAATTTATGCTTTTATACTAGCTTAAGAAATTATTTTACCTTAATGTACTACTACTGATAAATAATTAGTCCTTCATGCTTCACTATAATGTGCTGAGATTTTAGCCTACCACATATTGTTGGTGCAAATCAATTCAGGGAATAACACACACTGAGTTTAAAAAGTCTTAAACTTGACAAAGGTAATAAGACATCAAGAAATCCTGGACTGACAGACTGACCAAATCTATTTTGAATCTTACTCTTCCACTTACTAGCTGTGTGACCTTGGGTAAATCACTTCCTCTCTCTGTGTTTCAGCTTTCTCATCTATAGTAAAGGAATAAAGAAAGTACCCTCTGTATGGGATTGAGAGCATTAATGAGTCAGCATCTCAAAGAACCAGTTACAACAGAGCCAGAGACAGGTAAGCGCTACTTTAATATTTGTTAGATTTAAAACTAAAATTTGTAATACAGTTAACTTTCAAAATTATGTAATAAAAACATTTTACAAAATTGTCTTCAAGACTTCTGGAAAACAGGAAATAGCAGTGTAGGTTAGTCATTCAAGAAACATTAAACTTCTACTCTTCTGTACTGAAAAGTCACTTTCTCTTTTACCTTTGGAAAATGCCAGCTATACTTCACACAGTGCATTCATTAAGTGAGTCACCGTGAGAAGCATTCAGCCAAGTATACACCTTGTAAAGAATGTTAGTGAAAACTTGCCGTATATGTACCTTTATAATTCCAATTATGACGAGCCCATCTAAAACTCATTCATTAAAGCTAAACTGTGACTACTCCCTCATTCAAAATACTTTTTTAAGTAGCTACTAAATATGTCTGAGCACAGATAAACCTGAACTTTATGTTTTAAATAGTGTATCCTTAAATTTAAAGGAAAAATGAATAACAAACACGTTGAAGTGGGTAGAGCAAAAAAAAAAAAAAGAAAGAAAACGGTTATTTTTAAACATAAGAAAAAAATCAAGCACTTGTGGTCACACCTGGTAGGGCCCTTCTTCATGTGATCACCAATAAAAGTGGCATTGGTCATACTCATTAAGGTATTGGCCAAGGAGATGACAGACAGGAGATGTTGGGTGGTGACGGCTCGGGACACCCCGTAAGTTCCTTTTCCGACTCCCTCCATGGCTGGCAGCTTCCTTCCCACTTCTGCTTTCCCAAGAGGTAGTTTACCAGCAGCCTGGTTATAGCCGGGGAGCATGAGGGACATATGTCCTCCTCTCGATAAAAGGCCGAACGACACCGTGCGGTGGGGCTTCAGCATGCCAAGGCGATCCAGGCAGACTTCGTCCAGAACTTCGTTCAGACCCCAGGCGTGAAGGCAGGACATGAAGAGTTTGGCCGTATCCATAGTCAGGTTATATTCTAAGAGGGTCAGTGGCTTCGACTTGCTGGCCCGGTACTCAGGGTCACTTTCTTCCCTTCTCTGCCTCATTGCCTCCTCATCCTCCTCCTCATCATCCAGGAGATGCTCCTTTATGTTCTCTTTGATGGTCTCTTTCACTTGTTGGAAGAGGACGGCTGCTCGCTTTCCAGTCAGAAAAGAGCCCCCTTTGTCTGAACTGCCAGATGCTTTTTGCAGATTCTCAGGGGAAATCAGTGCGGTGTTGGGCCTGGAGGCTTCCTCGGTGAGGAGCTGAATAATCAGTGCCTCCACGTCAAAGAAGAGCACATGGATGTCCGGGTCCGTTAAGTTTGTCTTTATTGCTTGAACCATCAGGGAGTTATGAGAATATTTGGGTAAATTTCCCTGCAATGAATATTTTGAAGAGTTATCATTAAAGTGTTTGATTTCACATATTCATGAACAAGTCATAAACAGTCAGAGGGATTCAAATGTGTCTTAAACTACCTTGTAAGGTGCCTCTATCATTACAAGTAACACACATAACTTTGCCAATGAGCAACATATAAAAGATATGCACTTACACAAGTAGAAAGATTTATGCTAGAACTATAACTGCCATTTTTACAAACAAGGAAATAAAAAAAAGTTTATTATTGAAGGAAGCTATCATTTTACTCACAGAGCAGATTAAAAATTGTTTCAGTTACTTACATGCAGGAATTATCATTCAGCCTGAAAGACTAATCCTTGTATCACAACTACTCATCCTTTTAAATTAAATCCCCGCTTTACTCACAAGCTCTTCCTGTTCACAGATTCCTTTTCCTCAACAGAGAACATGCTCAAATCTAATTAGATGGGAGGAAAGTGTTACCCTCAGCCCACGCCTCCTCCATTTTGTTTCTCCCTCTCCTGGCCCTTATAGTAAATGTATTAGAAGTAATAATTCAATAGAAAATTTCCAGACCCACTCCCTTTAATAGCCAGGATCTGACTTTTTTTCTTTCCAGAAAGAGAGAGAATAAATAAATAAAAGGAAAGAACAGAAGAGAAAGCCACCTCTCCCCACTTCCAGAGAGCACCTTCTCCTCCTGAACACCTTGCTGTGTCTGCTGCCCTGCTGGCTCATCTTCCTCCCCCGCTAGGACTCGGGGCTGCAGGAAAGTGGCTCCCTATTTTCCATCAGCAGCCAGACCAGTCTCCGAAAAGAATGTCAACCCTTGATCTCAAACTGCTTCTGCTTGTCCGTTCCACAGAATCACATCTTTAATAGGGCCTGGTCTCCGCCCTCCCCTAAACCTACTAGACTACCTGACCTATTGACCAACTGGACTCCCCCCCCCCTTGCCTCTAAGCAGGTCTCGTGACTCTGTCCACCCCTCATGCCCAACCCACGTCTGCGGCGCCACAGGGCTTCCTAGAAGCCCGAATCCAGTGACACTTCTCCTCTGCCAAGAAACTGCCATCATCATGGGGTATTCAGCAAGATTCAAAATTACTCTGAAAACTAAATAACAACATAGGCACCCACATCTGATCTAAGGCTGAGAAGGGGCTTTCCAAACATACTTAAATGAAAAGTTCACTGCCATGAAAACGTTAAAAGGCATGAAAGAGGGCCCTCCCTGGAGGCACAATGGGTTAAAGCACAGCACTATGAAGCTACTGCAGCCACTGCAGCATGAGTCTGATCCCCAGCTAGGGAAGTGATCCACATGGTGTGGCAGACCTCTCCCGACCTGCCCGCTGCTCCCCTCAGCAGTGTCTTTCAGTGCATCTACCTGTTCTGCCCCCCCACTCTGTCTCTAGTGAATCCTCTCATCCCCAATCTCTGACCTGTACCCCAGTTCTGTATGCACAAATAAATAAATCTTTAAAAATAAAAGACATGAAAGAAATGGGAATAAATTGTGCCAGAAAGAGGACTGATGAAAAGCTACAATCTACACAAATATTTCTTCAACTCAAGAGGGAAATCACCAATGTCAAATTCATGGGGAAAATTCGGTAGTGGTTAAGGACGGGAGAGGGAGAAAGGACAAACCCTCAATACACATGAGGAAAACCTGCTCAGACGAGTGTCAAGGAGTCACCACCTCTCCTCTGCCGCTGGGCCACACATCCATCAGGAAGCATCACAAGTGGCTGCTCTTGCAAAAAAAATATTTCCAGAATTATCACGAATTCTGCTTCCTTCATATCAATGTCTGTTCTAAATGGATGAGGTTTAAAGGAAGGCAGAAAATACGTATTTCGGTAACAGGGTGGTCCCAGGAAAAGGGGAGGCCCCATGCCCCATCCAGGGAAGCTGAGCATGGAGGAGAATTGGAGAGGAGACTGAGGAGGAAGGAGACAAGATGGAGCCAGAAGGCGACCTGAGGGAGGCACACAGAGCAGAGAGACCTGTGAAGAAGCGGCTCTTGTTTCTTGGCCCAGGAACTGGCTGAAGCAGATGTGGGTATGAGACCGTGGGGAGGTTCACTATGGCAGCATTTATCTTGGCTTTGATTTTGCTCTTTTCCTCCCAGACTTGTCTGGCATTTCTGACCCTGTTCTATAGGTCCTGGCCAGAAGGTGCTTTAGGCTTGTTGGGGGTTTCAGACCTTGCTTTGGGTCAATTTGCCCAGGAGGGGTTGGGTGACTTCGGGTGTCTGATTTAGAAACTATATTGTTCATGTTTGCTGTGTATTAAAGTTCTTGTCCATAAAAGGTCTTATATGTTTTGTCTTGATGCGGCAGATGGAAGACCTACTTAGAGCAGGCAGGATTGGAAGTTCTCGGGTACCCCTCTCTCTGCCCTCCCTATAGCATGTCTACTTTTGTAAAGAGCCTAAGATACCTGTGGGATAAATTTCCACTACAAAGAAAATCAAGACCTTCTCAATTGCATTCCTATATTCAGTTTATCTCCTCTGCGTTCACCACGTTTATACAAGACACAAGGGATCTGAAGATAAATCAGGTGGTTTTCTAGTCACAGGAGTAAAGAACCACACCGTGACAAGAGTGACACGGAGGGAGAGCATCAGTGCCCCCGCGGGGGGCCCTCTGGAGCAGCACGGAGCCCCTTTGGGTGCCAGGGGTCCTCGCAAGGGAGGGCACTGTAAGCTACGAAGAGCTGGCCTGGTGGAGAGACAGCAGCACAGGGAACACGTGACAAAATGCGGTGGGAAGATGGAGGACAGTGGGATGTCGGAGGCCCGAGGGCCACGTCAGGACTCTTCCCGGCTCAGGAACACAGCCCTGTGTCTCTTAAAGGACGGTGTTTTACCGTGTTTGCTTTTTCAAATATTTGGGTTTGAAAATGTGGAATGTCAGCTACAGTGCTTAATACTTTTTGTATCAACCGACACTAACTGGCTGGATAATACATAACATTATCTATTGATAATATGTCTCACATATCCTTGATAGGAAAACTATCACAAGTGATAGCACCGATGTACCATAGCCCAGGCACTAATCTAGGCATGAACTTAAACACAGAGCTTCTTTCAGGAGAAAGCAACCATCAATGCCAGCAAATGAAAAAGTCAAACGTGTTTGGTAAAGAAATTGTGGAAACAGCAGTCGTGACTGGAAGAACAGCAGGCAGAAGAGGGCACGGTGGACTTTTCAGCTCCGATTTCCACAGACCGTGGCCCATTGAGCCCCCAGGGGCCCCCGGTTCTGTGTCTTTCTGGGAGATGCGCCATCGGCCACCCCACATCCTCGGGTACCTCATCACCGACAAGGGCAGGTTGTGTCGCCCAGGCAAAAATACCGCCACTGTACTTGAAGCGATAATCTAAATATTTGCTTGAAAAAGGCCAACCAAGAAAAACTAAATCGTCAAATTCAATTCATGGTCAGAAAAGAGGAAGACAATCAACATACGAAGCTTATGAGAAGAATACTTGAGAAGAATATTTGAGAAGAATATAGAGGCTGAAGGGAGGAGGAGAGGATGGCTGGCTTAAGGGGCCCGTGGGTGAGCTGTGGTTTCCGACAGCAGCAGCAGCATGTATGCCCTGTAACAGCCGATAGTGGATCTTAACACATAAAGTCTTATTGCAACGAACACAGAGGTGCTGCAAAACTGCGAGCGAAGGACATCAGCTGGATGCGTGGAGGTGGCAGCGTTGATCACCACTGTGATGTTATAATGCGTTATGCTAAGCTGAGCTAACGGAAAATGAACGTCCATCACACTCCAAGGGTCTCTCGGCTAAATCATAAAATATACATGTCCAGAGTGGAGTAACTCATTCAAATCACCTATCTTCTAAGCTAGCTGCTCCTAGAAATTCTTTAACAGAAATGGTGTATGTTTGCTCTGCCACCTTTATTAAGAACATCTGAAATGTATGCTCACAAGCTCACTTTTACACTATTACGGAGGAAGATTAAATTCACTCTGACAAATATTTGTGGAGTGCCACCCCAGTGTCTCCTCGGCACAAAATGCACGGAGAAAAACAAAGCCTCTGTACTTGGGGCAATAATCTAAAAATTTACTTGAAAAAGGCCAACCAGGAAAACGCAATGGTAAGGTGTGTACAGACGAAATGGTCTCAGATTTGTGCAGATGTCCAGACAGGCATGCTTATTTAAAAGGCTAGTAAGACAGAAACATTCAGCATGTTCATTGGTAAGTACTCAATTTATTGTGGCATTGTATTTTCTGTACAGCAGTAACAGAGATGAAACCATCTGAATGCTAACTAGGGAGCCTGATTTACTACAGAGATGCAACCACAGGAAAAATGACTGATGGGTCGGTCATCCTTGAACGTAAACCTGCGGCAGGTCAAATGGAGTGAAAACCCGAGGAAAATGGCCGAAGAGGGTCGGGAGGCCAGTCCTCCGTGGGTGCAGGGGAATTTTTCAGCACATACACACCGGAAATAACACTCTCGACCTGCCGAGGAGGACACGCAGCAGGATCCGTGTTGTAACACCTACTGTCCCATATTCGAATATGTGCTGACGCAAATCAAGCTTGCTGAACCCCTGAGAGCTCTGCCCTACACCAGTGCTGTGCTGACATCTGAAGCCTATTTCCTTTCCTTCATCCAGTGACTCAGAGAAATTAAACACTGGCAACAATTTCAACTGGTTCGGATTTCCCACTAAACATGAGCTGATGTATGCAAGTGAGCATTAAACGTCAATTGATTTTTATGCTGAAGTGTAAAGTAGAAGAGTGGATGACTTTTTAAAATTACAAATCTGCTCTGAAACCAGAGATGGAGTATATTAAAACTAGGAAATGTTATATATCTAATATACATGCACACATGCATGCACTCACACACGCTTGCCTGAATATCAACACTGAATCCTAAAACAGAATACAAAAATATGTATTTGACAAATATAAATGCAATATTTGACAAAATAATTAAGTAGTTACTGTGCTT